ATAAAGACGTCCCCGGGACAGCGTGTGGCCCAGTGGGCTAGGCCTCTTACAGGGCCCATAAGGGGAAGGACACATTCCCATAAAGACGTCCCCGGGACAGCGTGTGGCCCAGTGGGCTAGGCCTCTTACAGGGCCCATAAGGGGAAGGACACAGTCCCATAAAGACATCCTCGGGACAGCGTGTGGCCCAGTGGGCTAGGCCTCTTACAGGGCCCATAAGGGGAAGGACACCAGTTCAGATCCTAAAGTCCCCAGAGTGGTTTCACTCTTGGGCCCTGAGCTGGACTCTTAACCCCCAATTGCTCCAAGGACTGGCTGACCCAGTTTTCACAATTCTAAGTCACTTTGGATAAAAGCAGCTGATAAAAATGTAAATCCTTCAGCTGGGGGCTGCTCTGGTCACAGAGCTTAATTAAAAACTGTGATTATGTTTACAAGCTGAGTCAGCTCTATAAGTCAAAGCTTAACATGGCTATTTCAGAGAAACTCATCTCATCTTCTTTTGAATGGAAAGGCAACAGATAAAAGTAAAACTGTTAAGTGCAGATATCATAAGATTAACAGATGAAGTTTCATCCCTTACCTGGTGAGATCAGGCCGACGTCAGAGGTGACAAGGATGTACGTATGCAGAATGGTCTGCGGGAGGGTGAACAACAGCGCCTCCAGCAGGCGGAGTGCGGAAACGTCAGCCTGTTGCATCACTGCAGCCCCCAGCTCGCCTGTTGACCTCTGCATGTGCCATACTGATGATATGCAGTCCCCAAATCTGCCAGCAGAGGGCAGCAGCTATTACCACATGTCTCTGGTGCAACTAGCAGTTTCTGTGACCTGCCCCACTAATGGGCGAAAAGTAGCCTTACACCACTCTTCCTCCTCTCCTTAGAAACTACATGAACCCAGCAATCAGTCCCAGACCTGGCTCTCTCACCAGTAAAATATCTCACTTGTTCAAAACCAAGTGAAATATCTCCTAGGCAACAAAACAAGACCAACAAGAGTTTTCTAACAATAATGTTTTTTTTTCTGTGTCAGTCTCTGTACATTTAATAACAGCAAACTCTACTACTATCAGTGATAATGGTGAAATTATAGACTGTTCCACGTACCACCCGTCCTCACGGCCAAGGAAATGTCATAAAACGGTGACAATGGTGTCGGTTGTGCCAACCTTTTGTAGATGCCCAAGTGCAACAGGTGGACGAGGGCCAGGAGACACCTGTGGCGGTCGCTGTCCGCATGGTACCACAGGAAGCTGAGCAACTGCACGATGGACCCCGGCAAGGCCAGAGTCAGAGTCAGGGCTGCCCAGAGCGTGTGCCCGAACCACAGGTAGTACACCAAACAGTAGGCAACTGGTTAATAAAAAGAGACACAATTAAGCCGTCAGAACCGAGGCTCGTACAATGAGAAGCTAAAAAAAAGCAGCACTTTCTGAAATCCAAAACAACCTTTCCGTTTACAATATTCTAGTACAAAAAATGTTGCATCACTGTAATATAGTGAGTTTATTTTACTAGTAATGTGGTCTACAAGTATTCTAGGGGTTTTCACATGTTTTATGAATGTTTACAAGTTATCTGAAGTGAAATCTAATTTTGGTTTTATCCAATGAATGAAGAGCAGATGAAGACTTGAAGTAATGTTCCTTGTTTTAGTTCTATGGGATACCACATTCTGTGATCTGTGAAGAAATCCGAGCCCCCCAACTTTGGAGGTGCTGCTGCTTTTGTTTACTAGTGTATTACTTAATTCTTAACCTTGATGGTCGTATAGTATGTTAACACTACAAGGTAAGCATACATCGGAAAGACGCGGTTCTGCTCTCCACACTTGTGATGGAAAGTACACCCAAAGGCAGAGTCCTTTGATCGACGGTATTAAACTAGGTCTGTCTTTCATTACTGATGGTAAAGTGGTGTAGTATTACCCCGGAGCCGGTTACTGCGCATGCCCACTTCACCGGCCCAGTTAACAGACCCTGTGTTGTTCTCAGCGCCCCCAGCGTGCCAGTATACGGAGCGGCAGGGAACGCCCCCCCACCTTCATCCATTCACGAATGGCGTTTTGAAAAGGCGCTCAAGCCACGAAACATACATAAGTAACGGATCAGATTACGATGCAAAAACAACAATAGATGTAATTATACACATTCAAAATATATGCACGTATATGCTTTATACATGCGGTATATTATTTTTTCGCTTTTGCACAGATTGCAATAAATAAATGCAAGCAAATACAAACAGTTAATGCCAAGTAAATTATACCCATTAGAGCGCACTAATAAATCACATAAATAAAAAGTGTCCGAGATGTGTATGCGTAGTAAAAAATTTAAAAAAAACACCGGAGTACCATTACGTTATTCATTTTCACATGCGCGGGTACTGGCGGGTTCATTTCTGCAGCTTCGTATCACTTACTTGCGGTTCTCTCAGCCAGAATAACGAGGACCGATGCGCCGAAAAGGATGACCTGGCACCACTCGGTCCAGCATCCCCTACGACCCGGCGAGGGCATCTTCCGAGTCCCCTCGATGATCGATGCCGTCCGTAAACACGGCCAGCGGGACAGACCGGGACCACGGGCATACCGCTTAGCAGCTATTGTGCCTGACGTCATCGTTTCACTCTTAAAGGGCCAGTTCACGTCTTCATCAATTACCCTTATGTATCCCAGAGGGAAATTCTTCTGTATACAGCAGCAAGGTACATAAAGCGAACAGATACAAACATATAGTGCAAATCAATCACATTTCAGAAACACTACACATACTTCAAGCAAATATAAAAAGGGCACGAACAGAACATCCTGAAAACAAAATATTGTGTATTAAATAAATAATCCTAAATATAAATGAGTTAACAAATAATATGTGCGCAGTTAAAAGTAGATATCGCCTAACTTTATGTTAAAGAGGAGATCCTTTCCTGGCGCGTGATGGCGAGGGGGAGTAGGTATTGTAGTACCCGATGTTACGAATGTAGGTTACAGTCATTTCAAAACACCTGAATTACCCGGCTTAATTTCTAATGTACGAACTGCCAACATAAAAGGTTCTAATATCAATTAATGAGTGCAATAACAAAAATTTATTCATCTATCTTCTAACTACTTATCGTCGTCAGGATCGATATTTTTCAAATAACTTATTTACACACATACTTTGACGAAGTCAATTGCACAAATTTAATGAAGTTATAATTAAAATGAATCAAGTTAGTGGACTAACGGACATTTAATAAGCTAAATTTAGAAATTTTAATCTGGGGTGCTTTCAACATTATCAAATTCTTGCTCAGGATGAAAACCACAATTAATTTTTTTTTATCTGTACAAACGTTCACCAGTCAGCTACTAATCATAGTTCTCAAGGTATGCTGACGTAAGGTAGTCTGCAGCTGCACGTGGAAAATACCTCTCTGCAGGAAATGCAATATGCGGAATTATTGTTATATTTTCAATTTAAGGAATTAAACATTTAAGAAATAATTGGTGATTCTTCGACAATAAAATAATTATTAATATTTTAACAACTGTAATTTTAGCAAAAATATTAAATAAAGTAACTGTTGCAGAGCTGCTTTATATGGTTACAATCTAACGAGTGTTTCCACGGTATCGAAATTCTAAGTTCCGAAAGTGCACAAGGATATTGAAATTCTCGTATATTAGTTGATAATGTATTTTCTAAGATTTAATAAGGTATATTTAACTGACCCATTTTATTCATATATTCAGATGACGAATTACTAAAGCGATTTTTGAACAATTCGATCGTTATGCTAAAAAATGGTGATTCTTAGATGTGACGACAAATCCGTAGTTTCCCAATGAACATTTTAAAATTGTTACATAACACATACAATAACATCAATTCTAATAATATATTTTTAACTTAGAGAGGTTTATGCCTGATAAATAAATGCACATTTACTCGGGACTGGATGATTAATTAATTGACTTCTCCCACGAAATAATTCAATTTTGTACTATTTCGCAATATTCCGACAGATGGCGAAGTACCATCGTGAAAAATGTTGTGTGGATGATCGCTGGTTTTTGCAATGTACTTAAAATGCAGCGCAAAAGGAGAAGAAATCACCACTGTATTGTAATTGCAGGTTTATTGTCCTGCATTGTGTCTTAACCACATGTGACATATAAAGAAAATTCGTGTACACTTTTTTGTTGATTTTGAGCAATCTACTTCGTGTTAATTCATTGAAAATAGCGGGATAGTCATGGCCTACAGTTCCACAACTAAACAAACAAGACTCGAGGAAGCCAGAATGACATTTCACATCCTTAAATTCATCCAGTATATGAATATTGCGGTATACTTAAAGTTTAATTATATAATGGGAAAATATGGGGGAATACCATACCATAGGCATTAAAAGGAGTTCCCAACGTCTATATTGTGCTGTAATCACAACCACGTGGATTTTCCAGTGGAAACTGAACCCATCAATCAAAGCCCTTTAAATTCAAGGGGAATACGGCACACAGCAATACTGTTCTCAGTAGGAAATTAAAGATAAAACGGGAGGGCAATCTGAGTGCTAAGTATGTGAGATGAAACGTGTTTTGGGAACCTAGATCTTGCCGCTTGTGAAAGGTGGAGAAATTGGCCTACCAAAACTTTTAACCAGTTCCTGTCCACTATGTATCTTGGCTGTTATTTTGCCAGCATTATCACTGGGGGGAGAGATAAGCCGTCTAACGAATATCTGTGGCGCCTGCATGTCCCCCCTCCAGTCAGACAGGAATCCCGGATTTCAGAGACGTTCGCGGGGAGAAAGGTTTGTGTTGGCAGGACCACAGTGCTCTGGTAATCATCTCACTTTCTCTTCTGAAACGCAGATCTGTCCACGCCCTTTCTCCGCTCCCCTATCAGTCTCCCATACCTTCATATCCCCTTCTTCCCTTGTAGTCGTCGCCAGGGCCTCGCAGCCACCCCCACCGTCAGGAGGCCGTGCTGCCCGACTCGGCCTCGGGGACCCCAGGGAACGGGAAGATGTCACGCAGATGCCGCTCGGGAAATGTGGGAAGTGCGTGTGAGACTCTTTGAAGTGACGTGAAGCTCGCTCTCTTCCAGCAATAAGTGGGAGAATTCAGCAGGGTTTGGGATCAAAGCTACGCAGACGGACAAACCTTCACTGATGCCGAGCGTGAGGCTTGACAGAAAGACAAAGGAAAGGTTTAGTGGCATCCACGCCTCCTTTAGTTTGGAAACATCTTTATTTGCTTTAATTTAATTGAAAAAGTACTATTTTTGTAAAAGGCAGATAAGACAGTGAAGCTTACCGTTTTTGGCAGCCATTGTGATAAAACTATGGATTTTTTTCTGATGATTACTTGGAAAGTTAGAAGGAAATGATATGTACGGCTCATAGGACGCTTTGGCATCTGAGTCTTAAGCTTCGCACGATCTTTACATGAATCATTTTGCTAAATCCCAAGGTCTGTGTGGATGGAGATAAGCTCGCTGCGTAGAGAACTCCCGACGGCCTCGGAAAAACTTTAAAATAATTGCGTACAGACATCACATGCGGGAGCTTAGACTGCAGATTAATGATAATATGAAGTACGTCACTCCAGTTGATCGAAAACAACATTAAAACAAATTCTGCTTGTTATTCACATCTGCTAATATTTTTGTGCAACAATAGTTGAATTGCACAACCAACAGCCCAGTTTCAGTGAGAAAATTGTATTTGTAACAAGAACGTCACTTCTATGAACATTTTTTTCTACCCTGATCATTTGTACGTGCTGTTTTACTTTGCAGCATGTTCAGGCCAAAATAAAGCAGTCAACTGACAAGCAGGTCAGTTAATCCACATACCCCCCCCCCCCCCACCACTGACAGAGCATCTAGGAGATGACATAAGCAGGGTTCCAGGGACAGCTGACATGAGTTCTGTGTGAGATTCCGGCATCAGCGGTCGCCCCGGCAGAGGTGTCCCTGACGAGGGGAGACTGGCGGCTAGGAGAGGCATCAGAGGTGAAAAGATCTGGTCCAGTTCAGGGATGTCTCCTCCGCTGGTGGTCTGGGGGGCTTTCGGTGAGAGAGATAAACAGCGGCACCGCCAAAGTCGGGCTCAGCCCAGTTCCCCTCCCCCACTTACTCCATCCCTTCAATCTACAATGCTAAGGGTCTCACTGCTAGAAAGCAACCCTCTCAGACCAGACAAGAGGATGGGGCAAGATTGGCCAGATATCGTTTTATTACAAAACAACATTTTAAGCACCCAACAAGTACTCAACCTGTACTAGAATTAGCACGAAAATGTATTAAAATTCCATTCCATTCTAGCATGACAGCTGAGTTCAAAACCATTTCCATGGTCAAATTAAAGCCTTTTTTCATGTGGATGAAGAAGCTTTGTCGATAATCAGAGAGGGATGTGCATCATTGGTCTCGTCCCTTTAACACTCCAAAGAATGCTAGGGAAGGTCAGAGGTCAGAAAAGAAGCAGCCATTTTAGTTTCTACTTTAATCTGCTGGCAAAAGCGACCTTCAGCGCGATGTGAGCCTGCAGCCGGCACTGCTTAAGATGCTGCTCCGATTGCTCCGTCCGGATGACGAGACCTTCTGCTGTGGCCATTAATGCTGTTATGTAAGGATGGAAAGTCAGGGTCACATCGAGGCTGCTGACCGGATTAGGGTCCGGCTTTCTGCGGGAGTTTGGTCATTTTTGTGAATCTTCCCAATGCACGCTAGGGACAGAGAGAGCATTAACTTGTTTATGCAATTAATGTGGCTGCAGTTTCATGTTTAGCTTTTGTATTTAGAAAAGCCAACCCCCCCCCACACACACACAACACCCCAAGACTTCCAGTTATCCTCCCCCCTCAGCTGAACTTCAAGGCCTGCCAGCTGAGGGGAGGACAGGAGAACACAGGAAATTCCCGGGCGAAGCGGCCGCTGTGCGCATCCTCCCGCCAGCACCTGTGCCTCTACTCCACCTCAGTCTGGCTGAAAAGCTAGAAAGTACACCCCCCCCCCTGTTGGCCCACACAGCTCTCATCCATTCCCCACCTACCAGAACCCAAGTCACCCTGCCGGGGAGCGCTGGTCACATGACCAGAGCAGAGCAAACAGCGTTGGCTGTTTACCCACCTTATCTTCGGTGTTGTAACAGGTCAAGGGGCACGGGCTGACCCCTGGATGCTGAGGAGAACATCACCAATGCAGCAGGTGGGGTCCAGTGGGAAACGCGAGTCAAAAAAAAAATCGTTGGGTGTTTATGGGGTCATGTGTACTTGATCTCATCGCCCAGAACGATCCACAGCTTTTGAAACAAGAAAACATGACAATCTGTGGAAAAAATAAAATATACCTTTAATTAATTCACTATATGATATTAGCCATGTCATTAATGTACATTATTTTTGTATGCATATGTGACTGTGGAGGATTAGATGTCTATAAGCACTGATGTTTGTCTTGCAGAGCCATACTTTATCATTAAAGATATGCATTACAAAAGATAGTGAGTGGAGCATGATACATTTTGTCCAGTGTGTCATGTTTACTTACAATGATAAGAGATGATGGATCCCCCCCAAGCTATAGATTTCCCGCATGCTGTATAGAA